ATTCTACCCCCTTTTTACTCTTTCTTTACCACACATCCAAATTCAAAATTTTCCCACTTTCGTTTTTTTTTAAAATTTGGAAAACTCCACCCAAAAACCCTCCAAGGGAAAAAAAAAAAAAAAAATAAAATTTTGAATTGTTTTAATATGGTAATTTTGGTTTTTGCGTTAAAAACGGGAAGATTTAAAGGTGTCGCTATTTTTTACATTGGGGGAAACCTTTGTCGCTTAAAAACAATGGGTTTTTTTTTTTTTTCTATTCCTTTTTTACCCTTTTACTCCAGGGGAAAAGAAATTTTCCCTCTGTCCTTTTTAAAATTTGAAAAAAAATCCCACAGGGGGAAAATTTTCCCCTGAAAATTTTCTTTTTTAAAAAAAAAAATTTTTTTCGGGGGCCAACCCCCTTTGGGTAAAATTCCTTTTTTAAAAAAAATTTCTTTGGCCCCCTGCTTTTTGTTTAAAGGCCCGTTGAAAAAAAAAAAATAATGGAATCAAATTAACCATAAGCCCCAAAAAGCTTTAAAAAAAAAATTTTTTTCAAAAAATATTAAAAATCAAAAAAATAAGAAGACCAAGTTAAAAAAAATTTATGAAAATTTTTTTTAAGGGAAGAGGGGGGGGTTTTTAATGGCTTATTTAAAAGGGGAACCCCCTTATTAGGAGAGGGGGAAGTTTTTTGGGGTTTTCTTTTTTTTAAGATCCCTTAAAGGACTTGCGCCAAAATTTCCCTTTTGGGGTTCCCTCCCTTCCCTTTATGCATTTTTAGTTTAAACTTTGTCGTGCCCCAAAAAAACCTTGCGTTTCGCCCTTTTATGCATTTTATTTAATTCCTGCACTTTTTTTCACTGTTTTGGGTAAAATTTCGCTAATCCTTTAAATCCACTTTTTTCCCACTCTTTTTTCCAAAACCCAAACCTTTTCGGGCCTTTAAAAAACACTGATCCCTAGTTCTTTTTTTCAAAACTTGCCCCAAATTTTCCCAAATAATGTTGGGATTTTCTTTATCTTTTTTTCAATTCCTACCAATAAAAAGTCCTAAATCTTCTTCATTTTTCGATTTTTTTTTCAAAAAAAATTTCCCCTTTTTTGGCAAAAACAGTTCCCATTGGTTTTTTTGGGCCCAAAAAAGCTTTTTGATTGGGGTTTTTGACAGCCGGGGTTTTGGGGGATCCCTTTTCTCAGCATGATCCTTTTTTCTTTTTTTTTTTTTTTTTTTTTTTTTTTTCCCCCCAAACCAGCGGTGCCCAAAAAAAAAAAAAACCCCCAAAAAGAAAAAATTTCCAAAAAAATTTTTTAACAATCAAAATTACCCCCTCTTTTAATGCTTTAAAGGGTTTGAAATAAAACGTTTAGAATAACAAAATCCCCCCAAAACTCCAAATTCCCAAACCCCCCTTTAAAGGGGCAGACCCCCTTTCCAAATCAAGCCCTTTTGAAAAAAATTTCGCCCCTTCCAAATAAAAACCCCTAAAACTCCAAAGATGTGGTCCCAAAATCATTCGTCTCCTTTCACCCTATCTAACACCTCATCACGTTTGCGGGAACCCAAACCCCCCTACCCACAAAACCTCCTTTCCCCCCCTTTTTCCCAAACCCTTTCGAGGACGCCCCCTACCCTCTTTCCTTCCCCTATAGTTTTATATTTTTTCCCCAGCATTCACTTTGTCCATTTCTCAAAATGCCCAAACCACCTAAACAACCCCTCTTCTGCCTCTGACAAATGCTTTTTTAATCCCACCTTCCCCTAATTTACACCCCAAATTTTTGCTAATATTTCCCCACACATTGCCCTTAAAAAGGGACATCTCCACTGCCCCCAACCGCCCTCCCGCCCCTGTTTTCCCACCCACCACCCTTGGGGTTTTTGGTTTTTTAAAATTTAACACCCCCTTTTTTTTGTCCTAAAAAGTTTTTTTTGACTAAATTTTATACCTCCCCCCCCCCCCCCCCCCCCCCCTTTGTTTAAACCCTTCCCATAAACCACCACCACCCTTTTTCCCTATCAAAACATTACTTTTTCCCAAAAATTCCTCCCAATTTTTTTTTCCAATTTTTTTTACAAAATTTTATACCCTCCTCCCTTTCTTTTTCTACCCAATAATTTCCCCCTTTTTTTCTTTTTTCAAAAATTTTCCCTTGCTTATTTTGGGGTGAACCTGGCCCCTTTTGAAAATTTAAAATGCCCTTTTACTTGGAAGAGGGTTCTGTGCTTGAACACGGGCCGGGTGGGGTTAAGGAAACAAAGTGGGTCGGGGGTTTTTGGGGGTTTCGGGGTTTTTGCGAAAAAATTTCGAGCAATTTTCGTAATGTTCCCATCGTTTAGGGTACTGGAATCCTTTTTTTTTTTTTCCTCTTCTCTATTTCCCATCTTATTCCAACCCCTTGCCCAAAAAACCTTACCCCCCTTACCTTTTCTTTTCCTCCTTTTCCCTTTTTAAAAATATTCCCTTTCCAAAATTTTTTTCCTTTTCCCAGGAAAAACTATCCTCCTTTTTGGTCCTCTCAAACTTTGTCTGGGCATCCTTAATCCCCCTTTAAAAAAAATTTTAATTCTCTTCCATTTTCTACACCACTCATTGCCCTTAGACACGACATTGCCAACTTCCTCCTCGCGCAAATTTACAAAACCCATGCTTCACATAAAATGCTGGTACCACTAACATCATCATTCCCTCTTTTCCCCCATGGTAATGTTCTTTGACTTTTGATACCTCAGTGCAAAACCCTCTTTTTTTCATCAATTCTGTTGTAACCTCACTTTATGTACCCACCGCGAAATCCCCTCCCCAAAAATTTAACCAAATTCACTTCATACTTCCCCCCTCCAAACTGTTCTAAATTTTTTTTTTCTACTCTTTTTGGGACCCCCTCTAGTTGACTTTCAACTTCCTTTACACTTTCCAAAATCCTCCCCTAACCTTTTCAACTGCACTTCAATCTCCCTAAAACACATACTCAGCAAAAAAAACGTGGCCCAAATCCCTTTTGTATTGGTTCAGCTTTTTTTAAACCCCCCGTCCCAAAACCCCATCATTTATTCTTTTCAAGCCCATCTAAAATATGTTAATACCATGGTAAAATTTCCCATCTCTGCCAAGGGCCCCTTTTACTGAAAGTAATCTCCCTCCTACATACCCCCAACCTGAGCATCCATCCTTACAAAAAAAATTTTTTGCAGCATTTATTAAATTTTCTATCTTTTTTACACTTTCATCATCTCCACTTGCTCCACAATTCCTATCATATGCCTTTTTTAAATCCATGAAAAAGGATGAAACTTCCTTATCTTTTTTCTAATATTTTCATTACATGCCTCCCTTCTTCTCAATACTGCCTCTCCCTTACCCTTTTTCTTTTAGTAATAACTTACCTACACTTTACCTGGTATACTAGTAGGCTTTTCCCCCGAAGTTTTCTCTTTTTCCCCTATTCCTTTTTTACAAAGGTGCACCACCACATGCCAGTCCCCAGGTATTTTTCCCCTTTCATACATTTTTCAACAAAAACCAACCACTCGTCTGCTTTTAACATTTCCTTTATGATCCCATATCCCTCTACTTTACCCCCTTTCATTTTCCTACTGATTTGCACCCCACCACTCCATATTTTTGGGTCTTCATCCTAAAGGGTTTTCCTACCGGCCTTTCCTGAAATCATTGCCTTCCTTTCTTTATCACATTTTCAGTTCCCCAAAAATTTCCCACCACCTTCCCATCCTCTAATCATCTCTAAAAACCCCCCCTTTTTTGTTTTTTAACTGTCAAAACCCTTCTTTCCTAGGCTTTCTGACCTATTAATTTCACTTCAAAACTTTTTCTTATTCTCACAAAATTTTTTGACAGAATCTCCTCACTTGTCTTTTTTTTCAATGCAACCCGCCGATCCCACCCGGGGGGGGGCCCTAAAAGAAAAACGAAGTTTCTCTTTTTTTATTTAGAAAAAAAATACAGGAAAGGGTTTTTTAGCCCCTTTCTCCCGGGATTTTTGTCCCCTCTTACCACGATGGCTTCGGGAAGAATTCTGTTTCCCCTTCCCCAAGGAGGCAAGAGGGAAAAAAAAAAAGAAAAAAACTTAAAAAATAGGAAAACCGAGGGGGGGTTATAATTGCTTGTAATGTATGTGTAGTGTGACCTAAGTGTATAGAAATAGCAAGCTACCCGAACCTTTCATGTTTTAGACAGAAAAAAAGAAATACAATCCTCCATCTGTAAAACAAAATTTAAGGGTTTATTTTTTCACTCACTTTGGGAGGGTGGGAGTACCTCCCGGGTGGGTTTCTGTTACCAAACCCCACTTACTTGTTATGTACTGTAACTATTACTATTTAAACAATGTTTGGCTAAACATTCCCAAATTTTTAAGGCTAAAATATTTTAAATACTAAAACATAAAAACTAGTGTCATAGTGTTAAATATTAAAAGCAATTAAAAAATCTAAAAATTGCATTTGGGAAATTATAAAATTAAAAATTCATGACATTTATGCCCCTATTGCCCAAGATGTCATTTTTTCACCAACTTCACATATCTAAATTGTAAGTTTTTAATTTTTGTCTTATTTGGGTCCAGGGAAAATGCCCCTTTCATTTTATAAAACAAAAAAAAAAAGGGAAATATTTTTCAATTTCCTCCCACACAGGGAATTTTTTTTTTTTCCCGGGACCCACAGTTTAGGGTTAAACGGGCAAATTAAAACAAATGTATAATTTTGCAACAGTGATCCATTTTTGAAATTTAAATAGTGGAACATTTAAAATTTTTTTAAAAATAATATTTTTAATCTGTAATGATGGTATTTTCTGATTTGTTTTTTAAGAATAAAAAAATATAGCATTAACCTAGGGAAATTTCTGTGTTTGCTTTCAGAAGAGCAAAATTGATTCGCTGGGACGAGTGTTTTTATATACTGTTTCTCTACTCTGGCTTGGATTTACCTCAATTGTGACCCCTCATAAACCAGCTATATCCATGGCACAAAGGCCGCATGTTCTCCTTTTTAGGATTGTATGGCCCTAAAGCAGGGGGGTTATGTGCGGGCGTGTCAAAAAAGGCATGAAAAAGCCCGGCAAACAAGGTACTGTACATTTTGTAGAGAAGGTTCAGAGAACCGACAAGTGTTTTAAATTGACACATGTGCAAACCCCTTGGGGGTCTTTATTGAGGGGAAATTTCGCCACCCAGTGGCTTCATGTCCATACAAAGGAGAACGTTGAAGAACAGGGGAGTTTGAGGTAATCAGTCCCCCGCCTTGAGTCGATGTGGTCAGTCCCTCAATCTTGAAAAGAATACAGCATTTCTGCAAAGCACATCAACTCAAGACTGAGGGACTGATTACCCCAAAAATCCCCCGTTCTTTAAGTTCTCCTTTGTATGGACTGATGAAGCCATGGGGGGGAAACGTTTCCTAAAAAAGATCCCCAATTTTTGCACGTGTCTAATTTATCAACTGTACATCTTAATTTCTCATTAAAAACCCCTAAAGGTCCAACGATCTCTTTTAAAGGTAGTGCTACAAAAATAGATCTAGTTTTTTTTTTCTATTTAAATATAACAAAAAAAAAAAATAGATCTAAGTTTTTTTACACATTTTCAAATGTAAAAAAAAAAAAAGAAATCACTTTTTTTTACTACTTTCAAAAGTTGAAAAACGATAAACGTTTTTATGTTTACGGGTTAATAAATAATGTTATGTATTTTTAACCTTGTATTTTAAAAAAATTTTTTTAAAAAAATGTGGTATTTAATATTTCTTAAATTAGTTAAATTCTTTACGATCACGTCACAATGGATTATTTGTAGGGCCCGATGATGATGATTCCCCTTATTTTAATTGGTCCGTGAGACAAATGGGCCTTTATAAGGATTGACTTTTCTTGCTTGGGAAGTAAATTAGAGCTATTAAATTGGTGTTTTTCTATTCCCAACAGTTTAATAATATTATAATTGCCCTTAGCATAAACCCATTGTTAGCATATTTTTCCACTTTAGTTTTTTGTGTAAAATTTGAAAGAAAGGGGGTTCCTATGCAAATTTTTTTCAGTAGAAAAATTTTTTTAAATATTAGACAGAGATACATAAACCTTCATAGTACCCAGTAATTCCCACTTGCGTGCTGTATAAGAAAGACAGAAAGCACTTCTTACATTGGCAAAACGGGGTCTCGTTTTTTTCAACATTTGAAAGTATTTTAAAAAAAAAGTAATTTTTTTTCTTTTTTTTTTTCATTTGAAAAAAGTAAAAAAAAAATTTGATCTACTTTTTTTTTTTTTTATTTTGAAAATATTAAAAAACATAGACTACTTTTTAGCCACCTGTGAAGAAATTTGTTTGGGCAGTTTAAGGGGTTAAAGAGTTTCTATTTCCCAAAAGGTTCCTCTATAGGTACCCTGTCTCACCAATTGCAAGCAGGTCAGAAACCCATAAAGGAACCCGTTGGGCATTTGGAGATCTTTAGGAGCTTTGGCAAGAGCAATTGGACCAATTGTCACATCTATAGGTTAGTGTACATAATTTAATCTTTCAAATGTTAACGGTTCATTCCACTGGTATTGCATAGCTACTTTTACATAACAGATGATTTGATAATACTTAAGGAAAATATACAAAACATTGCCTGTAACTGTGAAGATAGAATAATTCTACAAATGCCTCTTGAACAGTTCGGAGAGGAAGGGTTTCAGAAAGGATAGTGGTAGTTTATGCCAGAGTTTACATGGAGAATGGAAAATTAAAGTAGTATAGGGGGTTTATTCTAGGATTAGTAATAGATAAGACTGGAGATGAATACTATACTGTATTACCACATATGAAGAGGAGGTAAGCCATGAAAGTAATATTTGAGGAAATAAAGATGCAACCTTGTAGTAGGAGGCTACTAGTCCAGGATTGGCTTTCTTCAGCTGTACAGTATACAACCACATTTCATGCGAGATACATTCCAGAAAAACGCAATAAATGGATAACTACTACGTACTATTATCTTTCAACAAACAGCTGTATCCTACCGAGGCAGGGTGGCCCAAAAAGAAAAACGAAAGTTTATCTCTTTAAATTTAGTAACATACTGGTTTCTTATGATATTAAATGTGTTTAAACATGTTTCACCCCTGCAAACATGAGAAAATGCCGTGTGTGTATGTGAAATGGAAACCTGTAGTTGTTTTACACAGTGCTGGTGTCATTTCCTTTTGCCTCATAAATACACAAGATAACAGGTACATTTGGCTACTTCTATTTACATTTTGGTCACACTACACATGCAAGTACACATTTATGTATACATACCCATCTGAATTGTCTTCTGTTTGAACAAGGAGACTTTAGGAAGGGTAGGGAATGCTTCTATTGCATTCATGGATTTAGAAAATGCACGTAATAGGGTGGATAGGGAAGCAATGTGGTAGATGTTGCAAGTATATGGAATAGGTGGTAGATTACTTAAGGCAATTAAGAGTCTTTATGAGGATAGTGAAGCTCAGGTTAGGGTATATAGTTGAGGGGAAATTATTTTCCTGTAAAAGTAGGTTTTCAACAGGTGTGCATGATGTCACCATGGTTGTTTAACATATTTATCGATGGGGTTGTAAAAGAAGTAAATCCTATGGTGTTGGGGAGAGGTGTAGGATTAAAAGATAAAGATTGTAATACAAAGTGGGTTGTTACAGTTGAATTTTACCAGTGACACTGCTTTTGGGAGATTATGAAGAGAAGTTGCAAAGGTTGATGGACAAATTTGGGAGAGCATATAAAAGAAGGAAATTAAAAGTGAACATAGGAAAGAGCAAGGTGATGAGGGTAACAAACAAGTTTAGAAATGAAAGATTGAATATTAGATTGGAAGGAGGGAGTATGGAGGAAGTGAATGTCTTCTGATATTTTAGAGTGGACTTGTTGGCAGATGGGTATAGGAAAGACAAGGTGAACCATAGAATTGATAAGGGGAAGAAAAAGGTGGGTGGTGAATTAAGGCATCTGTGCAGACAAGAACATTATCCATAGAGGCAAAAAAAGAGGAATGTATGAGAGTATAGTTTTACCAGTACTCTTGTATGGGTGTGAAGAATGGGTTATGAATGTTGCAGTGAGGAGGCAACTGGAGACAGTGGAGATGCCATGTCTGAGGGCAGTGTGTGGTGTAAATATGCAGAGAATTCATGGCTTAGAGATTCAGTTGAGTTGTGGGGTTACTATAAGTATTACGCATAGGGCTAAGGAGAGAGTGTTGAGGTGGTTTGGTCATTTACAGAGGATGGAGCAAAATAGTATGACTTGGAATTGGAAGGTGTAGAAATCTGTAGTAAAGGGAAGGTGGGATAGGAGTATGAGTCACCCTAGGAAAGGATGGAGGGAGGGGCTTGGACATCCAGCAGGCATGTTTGTGTGTGTGTGTGTGTGTGTGTTGGGCTTTTTTTTTTTTTTTTTTTTTTTTAAATAGGAGTGAAGGCAAATGGTTTTTGGGACCAGATGAGCTGTTGGAGTGTCAGTAAGGTAACATTTTGTGAAGGGATTCAGGGAAACCAAGTAGCAGGACTTGAGTCTTGGAAGTGGTAAGTACAGTCTTTGTACTCTAAAGAAAGGGTAGAAATATTTGCAGTTTGGAAGGGCATCTGAACTGTAGTATCTACACGCCTCTGGCAAGACAATGATAGTGAATGAGAGTGAAATTGTTTCTCTTTCGGATCACCTTACCTCAGTGGGAGATGGCCAGTATGATAAAAAAAACATTAATTTTATCACTCATGATTGACAAACATAGGAGGACAAGTTGCACAGTATTGCAGAGCAGGATTTACAGAATGCCCCCATTAAAGCTGCTACATTATTTTATCAGGTTTCTGGTCAATGGGTGCTGAGATGTGCTATATAATAGGAGGGCTATCAATGCTTGCTCCTCTGATCATGTTGCAGTCTTGCTGAGTCCTGATGAGTAAGGTATTCAACATTATCTTCTGATTTATCTCTTATTTTGTTGCCACATTGCAAGATAACTTGAAAACTTCATTTTTACAGAACAAAATAGCTACAATAATTTATATCAGCTCACACTGTTGAATTCACATGTGTATTATATTTTGGAATTTTAAAGCTAAAGTAATAATTTAAAGCATGAATGATCTTCCTGATTGTTATAAAGAAGTGAATCTCCTGCCAGTAACAACAAACATAATTGTTCCTTATTGTTTTTGCCTTTGAATTGTAAAAGTATTTTTATAAAAAATATTTAAGTAGGATTGTGTAAATAATATACTAATGTAATCAAATATTACTCATTGCGATTCTCATTGTGTTTGTAAATTGTGAAAGTTTTTGTGAAATTAAATATGGTTTAAATACTAATTTAATGTAAACAAAAAATTACTCTTATTTATTAGCCATTATTTGCATGTACTCTTTTAGTTACTGTATTTTGTGCCTAAGAAAATATCTCCAGATCCCATTTTTTTAATTAAAAAAT